AAACCGGGGTGCCGTACGTGCGCGAGGCCGGAAATGGGCTAATAAAGTTAGAAAACTGGCGAAGATTGAAGTATGTTTTCACAGTGGCGTCATTTCCCTTTTTTTTTTTAGTTTTCGAGCTATGCTAAAGCTTTTTTTGAAGTGTAGCCATTGCTGAGAGCTTTAGCCGGAGAACTAAGTGTGTGAAAAGAGTTGCAGTCGATTCGTTGTACCAGTGTGTGATGTGTGAGAAATAAAACCAAGATACGGTCGTCGCAAGCAAATGGTATCTCTCTAATCGAACGCAGAGGAATGGTTTCGAACAAGCCTGAAAGGAGGGAGGGGAGGGGGGGGGGGGTGCTAGTGCGTGCCTGCACACATATTTTATATCTGATGGTATGTCGGTGCACCGAACAAGGTAAGAAAGGAGCGTCGGTCTGTGTTGCGAAGAAGGGTTCCTATGGTTCGATGAGGGTAACAAATAAACCACTTATTTCCGCCATGACCTTGCAGAATTTTTATGTCGCGATTACATAACACAGTGTATATAAATAAGAAAACGAAGACATATATCTCAAAGTGATTGTGTCAATCAAGAGCAATTGGGGTTTTATCGGTCTAAATGAAAGTTACGAAATCGCTTCTGTTCGCGCAGTCGAAGCCGTCGGTTTTATTTCGAAGTAACCTTCCGTTTTCTATATCAATTTTGTACAATTTTAATTTTTGTCGTGACAGATCGCGCTGTCAAAACAAAACTAGCTCCTTTCTAATTCGTTTTCGCAACGGCCTGTATGTTTCATTTAGCTTATTTTACGTAGTAGACTCAATGACAAGCATTGCACATTTTTATAAGCATTGGACCCTGAGACATCATTGCATCTAGAAAGTACTACTTTTCGATGATAACCAAGCGCCCTTTTCTATGGCGGTCTAATTTGTGATTGAGAAAGTAATATAATATAAATATTTTCGTCTAATTCTTTATGTTTACAGACAAAAGAAGATGAGTATTTTCTTGTGGAAGAAGATAATTTAGTCTCAGCGTTTGACTCACTAAAAGGCTTTGGGCAATTCACCAAAAACACCACGTTCCCAAGGCCTGCCGATTTCTACTTGATGCTTGTTGGGTAAGCAAGATCACGTAATTCAGCCTGAGGTCTAGTGTTGCGGTTGAGGTAGAGATAACATATCCTAGTTCCTTATGGCAATTCAATGCTCCCGAAGGATATATGATAGATTAAGGCGGTCGTAATTTTTGGGCTTACAATAAATTACGCACTGCTTAGATCAAATATTTGACTTTCATAACCCCCCAAAGCACAGATTAGCTTTTATTTCAACACAAAAGCAGTCGTAGAATTTTTTTTCCTTTTTTTTTTTGTTTTTACGGAAACGAGTACTGTTGCTCCTTCAACTCGTAGCCGGAACAAGGGGCAACATCTTCTATTACGGATTCTAGGCAGGCAAGTGGCAAACCCTTGGCGGAGGCCAGAGGGGTATTACTACAGGGGGATTCAAGGCGAGGCCAGGCTCTTTAAATCGACCGCAGAATTCGGTTTCTTAACCTAATGCGCTACAATATTGTGCAGCGTTGCCCACAGATGGTACATTTCTGTTTGTAAAATTTGCAAAGAGCGAACCTAGCTGAGGAAAAAGTAAAGAAATAAAAAGGCTTAGCTTCTATGGAAACGCAGCCACTGGTCTCCAATCAACACGGCGCCCTTTCGCACGGGAGACAAGAGATGGCGCAAGCGGTCGCGACGCCAACTCCCGCCGACGAACGAGCATACGACGTCTTTAGCAGGCAAGGAACTGTAGTTCCTTGTTGTTACCACGCCTGGTTTTGTTGCTGGGACTGTCGCCGCCTGCGGAACGCGTGCCGCTTTTGAGTCGAAAAGCTCGTCTCCTAAAGACGCCGGCTCTCGGCACCGTATGCTCGTTCGTTGGCGGCGTTCGCAGCGCCATCTGCTGTCTCCCGTTCGAAACGGCGCCGTGTTGTGTGAAGACCGGCGGCGTCGCTGCGTTTCCATAGGAGCTAAGCCTTTTTCTTTCTTTACTTTTTCGTCAGGTAAATTCGCTCTTTGCAAATTTTACAAAAAAAAAATAAGGCACCATTTGTGGGCAACGCTGCACAAAGTCGTAGCGCGATAGGTTAAGAAACCGAATTTGGCGGTGGATTTAAAGAGCCTGGCCTCTCCTTGAATCACCCTGTAGAGTTGGGCTATTCACTTTACCGCAGTGATTAGACGGCAACTTCTACTCAAATGTTCGTCTAGCTGATTATTCTCACGAGCCTAACTCGAGTGATTACGCAGTGCTCGTCTCGAATTCTCGAGTCGCCTTCGACACTTTACCCCATATGGTGTGATCTCCGCAACTACGTCGTTAATTTTTACGAAGCGAAATAACATTTTACCAATACAGGGAACCTCCTCTGCTAGTAGTGTTTCCTGGGAGTACAGTGGGATATATCCGAAACTTTTCCAAAATGAATATGAAATGAAAACAAAACCATTTCAAGTTTTGGTATTTGACAACAGACTCCCCTCGAAGATGAATGCCCTTGATGCAAGGTCTTTGCAGCTTTTCTATTCACTCTTGGAAAGGAATTGCTTCGAGACACTTAAATATGCAATTGAATTCCTCTGTTGCCTTTTAATTCGACCGAAATCTCTTTCTAACCAAGACATAATGAGTTTCGGGAAAAATATAAAGTGTGAGGGAATTCAAACTTCCATTCTGTTATTTTTTTTCTAATCGGAGAAAATATCGAAGGCAGATCATTTGCTACGCATTAAGAAAATGCGACAACCATCTTACGGAAAGTTTCTGTTTTCAATTCGATTCATTACGTAAAATATTATTTACTGGGTGACGAGAAATGCCCACGGCTTCCTCTATTTTACGCACTTTCATTCGGCGACATGCAAAACGTTTTTTCTACAGTGTCTGATGTGCTGACCGTTTAACTGTGTAGCGAACCTCATTCGTCGCTTAATGTGTGCCACAATGCTGGAGCTGCGAAACCACCAAAACTCACTGTTGAAAAAGAAGGCGTTAAATCTCAAGGGCATCAAAGCTGAATTTATTTTCTTTTTTGTCTTATATATATATATATATATATATATATATATATAGATAAGACAAAAACGAAAATAAATTCAGCTTTGAAGCCCTTGAGATTTATATATATATATATATATATATATATATATATATATATATATATATATATATATTATGACCACTGAGGCTTTGAGTTTAGTTTTGATTAAAAATGCACAAGGTTTTTTCACTTGAACTCTTGTCAAAACTAAACTATTGGATAAATCGATTTGATATTTGCATTCAATTCATTTGAAATAGTTGGATTCCGAAAAGTTTTCACTCTATTTTTGCACAAGAGAAGGTAAAGACGGAGCACACACGAATGGCATAAAGAACCCACCGACGAGCGCTAGAACAACGAACCTTAACAAAACGCCGACAAAAAAAAAAGCCGACTCAATCATAAACAACCTTCCCATATTCTAAAATTGGGCATAGTAAATTCTTGTAAGCTGGCAGTTTTTAGCTAGGCGAAAAACGCCCGAGGAGGAGTTGTTTTAACCTCCAAACCGTGACCTGCAAAGCTTTGATATGTTTTTCTTAGGTCATCAGTATCATTCGTACTACTAGCATATAAGCGTTCCTCACACATTATGCAAACACCATCTAGATTATGCGTTCAAAGCAAAAATACATTTTCATGTTTTCTTTAAAAAATACATCTTTATTTTATTTTGGCATAGTTAAGTTATTAGGAGGCGGTATCTATTTACACACATATCTGCTTGTATGTGTCTAACCGATATGTGTTCAAGAGAGGACCCATATGCGCTGATACCTGTCTCCTCTTTGTCTTCGTCTTTCTCTACGCTGTATTTACCTTACCTAGTGATGAACAAACTCGCCTGCATTGCCATTTTTGCTACCCTCGTACTTCGGTCGGACTCGTGCCAGCAAGCTTGTGTGAATAGCATTTCAATCAAAAATTGAAACATGCTCTCTTTTTTATTTTGCCGCTTAAATGGACTTTACGGCAAACCGACAAGAAACGTGTAAAAAAGTTTTGTTGCCCCTCAAAACGAGGGGTGAGGTGCATAACTTCGGCTAATACGCGCTGCATGCTACATCTTATTCATGTATTATTTCCGATAATATCAATGCCCTTTATTTATGCGAATCCTAGTGATCTCATATTGTGAGTATTAGGTGGTCGCAATCGTCGCAGTTTCGGTTTTAAAATTTCATGTAAGCAGACATTACGACACAATTTCCTGGAAACAAGATTTCTCTTACAAAGGTTAAGTAAACTCTTCGAGTTTGTCGATTGTTTATGTATAGTGAGTTTAGCGGATATTTAATATTTCCTGCGGTATCTTAATGTTCTAAATACAAAAAAAAAATTATGCTTTTCCTGATGCTCAATCTTTTTGCATATCTCCACCTTGGGTTCAAAGCGATGGCCTATGCCTGTTAAGGGCCACGGGTAAATATTAAATTCAAAATCGAGTTTTTTTTTTTTTTAATTGTCAGGGCTGGTGACGGGTAAACTCAGACGATTATATTCTCATCCGAGAACATTGCACCGATTTTACGGGCGGTAACGTCGGCGCGCCATAACCCTTCCGAAATGTTCCAAAATTTTCAAAAATCGACTAATTTATTGCTTTTTGATGACGCTCAACTACATTCTAATTGAGATTGATATGTTCTTTTCTTACAAAACTAAACGTTCATTCACAGGTTTTATTTAATAATCTTACTTATCGTGACAGCTCCTCTGTTACGTCCCCATCGCCGTGTAACTCACCTGCCGAGACTGCATAAGTGTAGCTTTCACGGCTTTTCTAAGAAAGGACATGTAAAGCTTAAAAAGCACAAATTATGTGTACACAAACCGTTTCATGTGACTAATATTCATAGCAGCAGGAATGCGCATAATTAGTATTTTTATAATTGCATTTCAGGCGCCGCTTTGGGATACGTTACAAGAAGACTGAGAAATTATCTCGTGATCTTATCGGTAAGAGAAGGGAGTCAGGAGATTTTTCGGACAACAGATTTATGCTGAATCTTGAGAAAATCGGAGTTTAACCAGTTATTTCTCAGAGATGTCTAACGAATAACGAATGATATACGCCGTTTTGCTAGTTAGTAACACGAATTACTGAGTGGGATTTGGAAGTTGGTAGCCGTTTTCACAGAAGATGGCCTTTGCTGCATAAACTTAACATCGCTTGATTTGAAGCAGTTGGAGAAACTCAAGTTCAAAATGTTTTTAAAGCACGTTTTGGCTACTTAATTCACAAATAAAATTTGACAAGAAGGGTTTTCGTCAGATGATGCACATAAAAATCACATTCAACGAATATCTCTTGGAAATTTCACTTATATACGTGGTGAGATTTCTAAAAGACCAAACGCGAAAATCAACAACAAATTATGACGGTACATTTTTATTCTGCGTAAAACTTTAAGACCGCATGTGTACGTGCGTTCGCAAAAAAAATTGTGATTTTCATGACAAGACAGCCTACGCGTTGCCCAACTCTTAGTGCCCTCTAACGGTACAACCTGATGCCAAAGTTTTAAAAGTCACTGTTTGCAGATTCAAAAGTTTAAAGCAATTTTTTGAATTTTACACTGGCAAGAGGAGTCCTGTTTTTGGTAGCCGACGTCACCCATTTTCGTGCGTTGCTCGACTTCTTCGACTGCTCTCGTCCTATTGTGAATTTCCTAAAACTGTTCATAATCTTTGAGCATAACCTGATGCTAAAGTTCTAAAACTTTAACATCAGGTTCGAGCACCGAGCGCTACATTTGGCCAAAGACTGAGCGTTTAGTTATTCGTAATATAGCTTTGCGCTAAAAAAAGTAAATGTAGATGTTTTTTTGCGTGTTTGCTTTGCTTGTATCTTTCTGAAAACAAATTTTTCCTGTAAGCACAACGCCAAATTTCAGATACGGCTTGTATCCATGGCATTCGAGAATTTCGCACAAGTGGTCACGCCTCGGCTAATTTTTAAGTTTAAGTGGCTGACGTCTCATAATTCTAAATAGCTGCTTTTCCAAAGAAGAGGATTTTCACATCACAGCGTATTCTTACAGCTTGAAAAAACCGGTATTGAATGTATTTGGTAAGCAACAGATGGATTATTATTTCCAGGTCTCAGCCATCCAGGAATGGTGTGCGCGAAAGGCTTCAATGTAGCAATTTCCGAGGAACGACCTGCTCTTTACAATAGTTTCACCATAATAGTCCACGAAATCGGGCATTTGTAAGTATCTTGTCACTACCTTTATAAACACATGTGCTCAGCGTATCACCCGGGAAGAGCTTTTTTAGTCACCCTTAGTGAATCCCATGCCTTTTATCATCGCTACGGACAATGCGATAAGCGCCGATAAGAAGCGTGACCATAATGAGCCTTGCTTTGCGTTTGTTAATCTGTCCCTGATTATAGTGTTGAGTATTAGATGTATTTTTTTTTTTACCATGAACAATATTTTCGCAGGCTCGGGTGCACGCACGATGGAAGTGGTCCCTTGGAATATATCCCGAATCATCCTGGTGCTCTTGACTGCAAGTACCCAGAGAAATACATTATGAACTCTGCATGGCCAATTAGACCACCTTTCGTGTTTTCGAATTGTAGTGAGGTGCAGATGGAATTTGTTTTGAAGTAAGTATTTGCTTGAACTTTCTTAGTCACTGGTATCATCGAACCTTTATTCTTCTTTTGACCCTTGATATTTCCTATGCTATTATTTCACCCGAATTTTGAATGTATCGTTTGCCAGTATACGGGGATGTTACTTCCAATCGTAGTTACTTAAATTGTAGTTCACTTAAAGGGTAGCTGAATCCACCAAACGAATGAAGACAAGCGTTAACATAATACGCGCACTATGTTCCTTAAGCTGTCAGCAATAGTTGAAAGGAACTTGCAGCTCACCTCTCATTGGACAGGCAACGAGGCTGCAAGTTCACAACGGAAATACATAGTATTGTGGTTGTGCTGTTATCCTCGAAATAAACAAATTATGGCCGCTATATGGACTTTAAACGTGACAAATAAGCATTAAACGTGACAAATAATCTCTCTTTTTAGAGTCCTAGTACGTCCGTCGGTGTTTTAGTGTAAGCCAACTCATTATCATAGCGGTCGTTTTAATGCTTTTATTTTTAACCTATGTTTTTTTCGTTAAATTAATTATACGTTATCAGCAGGCGAGTATAAGCTGCCATTTTATTTCACTAGCAGTAATGTTAGGTGGTTCTATCGGTAGTTCCAATTTCAACACCAGTCTGAACGTTCACGACCGCCGCTTTGACCATTTCGACAAGCAGTTTCCATAATTATGCAGTAAAAACATTCATAAAACTATTTTAGCTGCACGACAGCCTTAATTATTGTTCGATAACGTTTTCTAAGCCTTTATTTTAGTAAGCTCGTAAGAAAAGGACGTTGACAGAAAATCACCTCTGCCCTTAAAGCTATCTGTGTTGTCTTGTTATCGGCCCGAAATTCGCACAGCCAGTCATCAGAGCAGCACACGTTGTCCAACACAAGTTGCTTCTGTTTTTGTTTAGGAAAGCTGTCACACCAAGGTAACTTTTTCGCTGTCATCCATGTTGTGCTAGTGTTGCCGCGAAGTAACAGGGTTTTCGGACAACATGGGAAGGGAGCAGCAAGTTGCACGATTCTTGGACAACGTGTTGTGTTGCTGTTGCCGTCGTGTTGCTTCAGTGTGAGAGGGCCCTTAGAATTTTCGTAGCCACGCATTTTGAAGAATTACTCCAATTAAAGAGGCATTAGTATATCGGCTGCCTGACGCTAGTGGAAGGATACTTTTTTCCTCTCTTCGGGTGGGTTCATTAAAAATTTAAATGTTGTATTATTATTATAACCTCGTGAATCAGGAAAACATCCGCTATGAAAACATTCCCTAGAGAAGAAGAACAAGGTGGACAAAGGACAAACACATATCTCTAAACACAGTTCTTTCTCCTAGCTGTGTTGAGATTTGTGTTTGTACTTTGTCCCCTCCCAGGTAGCACGCCAGAAAAATGCCCAACTTGGGCAAAGGTCCGGTAATCATAAGGGCCCAACTTTGGCGCAGTTATGTTTTTGCACCATGACACTCATCAGTGCCAAAGTACGGTGCCTAACTATAGCCTTAGTTGGGAGATCCTAGGGCATGCCAAGGTTTGACTCTTCTCTGGTACGTCAGAGGAGTGCCAAATGTGGTGCCATACTTGAGCCATACCTGCCATAGTAAATCCTAATCTGGGAATTCGGGGCATGCCAAGGTTTGGCGCTTCTCTGGTCCGCCAGAGGAGCGCCAAAGTTGGTGCCATACTTAGGCCATAACTGTCACAGTAAATCCTTACCTGCGATTTCGGATCATGCCAAGGTTTGGCGTTTATCTGGTCCGCCAGAGGAGCTCCATAGTGTGTGCCATACTTCAGCCATTACTGCCAGAGCAACGCCTAATTTCGGTATTTGGGACGTGCCAAAGTTTGGCTTTTTCTGCTCCACCACAGGAGTGCCAAAGTAGTGCCCTACTTGAGCAATAACTGCCAGAGCAACGCCTAATTTGGGTATTTCGGACATGCCAAAGTTTGGCGTTGCTGTGGTCCGCCAGAGGAGCGCCAAATTTGGTGCCATACTTGAGCCATAACTGCCGTAGTAAATCCTAATCTGGGAATTTGGGGCATGCCAAGGTTTGGCGTTTCTCTGGTCCGCCAGAGGAGCGCCAAAGTTGGTGCCATAATTCAGCCATAACTGCCAGAGCAATGCATAATTTGGGTACTTCGGACACGGCAAAGTTTGGCTTTTCTCTGGTACCCCACAGGAGTACCGAAGTGTGCCATACTTAAGCTATAACTACCAAAGCAACGTCTAATATCGGTATTTCGTCCTCGCCGAGTTTGGCTTTTCTCTGGTCCGATGCACTTCTGCCAAAGTAAGTGAGAGACTTGAGCCTTAACTGCCAAAGCAACGCCTAATTTGGGTATTTCGAAGATACTGAGTTTGGCTTCTCTTTGGTGCGCCACAGTTCTGCCAAAGTAAGTGCCGGACTTGAGCATAACTGAGGCAGTAAATCTTAATTTGGCGATTTGGGGCATGCCGAAGTTTGGCTCTTCTCTGGTTACCTCCTGAAGTGCCAAATGAGTGCCAAAAGTGGCAAAGAAAGCCCAGAGGCCTGCCCAAGTTTCGAATATCTCTGGTGTGTCACAGAATTGCTCTTTCAAGCGTCCCAGAAGATAATTAAATTAAATAAGCGTTGGAAACACGATGGTAAGATGTCATCACTTCCGTTGCCAAGCAGCACGGCAATACTTTGCAGTATCGTGCCAGTGCCGGCCGAAAGTCGGTTCCAATATCGCTCAAATGTCCATTTTTCCACCACCGTTTGATATCCGGCAGGAATTTCCGTACAACTGTTTCGCCCCGGCCTAGCGTTCGCGCAATATTGTGCGAATACCCTACGATGCGTCTAGTCCGTATTGGCCGAATGTCATGCATGTAAGTGTACGCTGCATATCATTTGTTGCATATACAATCACATATACAGATAAACAAAATTTTTTCAATCGCTCCCAGATGTTTATTAAACCACTATCATCACACACAGTGCATTTTCGACATATTTACAAAGACCACGCTTCTCTGTAAAACGAAAAGCAAATTACGAAATAGAATTAACACTGTCCTCATGTCAAGCATAACTCATCACACACAAAACCGCGGAGATTGAGAAGAAAACAAGACTACTAAAAGAAGAATGCTTTCAGTGTACTTACTAATAAAAGAGCGATATCATGTAATCTTTGATAGATGCATAATCCAACTCAGGCACCCCACAAAAACATTCGAGAAAGAAGGTTGCGCACATTCCGCTGATGTCTCGTCGTCGCCGATCAGCAGTTTTGTCGAAGCGTGTCCAACAAACACATCACAAGTATTCCATGAACTCCGGTGAAAAAAATGGCTGTTACCGACAAATTGGCATGGACGTATTCCGACCGTTTACGACGAAAAAGCACGGCCGCGTCTGCAACGCACGAAAGCAACAGAACACTGAAGAGCGCAGGTCGAAAACCGGACCTACGTGGCCCGCCTATTTCTATAACCAGACAAACGGCGAAAACAACAGCTCCAGAGGTCCCATCAGCGTGACGGAGAAAGTCATGTGACAAATTTTCGTCCAAACGTTTTTGTCCTACGCGCCCTACGTAGAGAGGTCATGCCTGGTGACGCATTTCGCTCCACCCTTTTGATTTGCCTAAGGCGGCTGTCGCGCTCGCTGACAGCCACACGAAGACACAAAAGCAGTTGGGGAGGATTTGCAAAAGGCGAGGTCGAAGGGGCATCAACAACGCATAAAAGGAAAGGCCGCTTTTACCGGTGACCTTGTCGCCTTACCTAGTCTGTCAGCGATCGGCTTCCATTGTGGCACTCAGAAAGATAATCTCCTTTCTTGAGAGCGAAATGGAAGGGTTGCTTTGTTTTGCGAGCTTGTCGCCATCCGATAGGCCTCAATTGTTCCTCTCCCGTCTCGTTCGCACTGATTCCCATGGCTGTCGTGCCGGCGAAATTAGGAGCGCAGCCGGGACATTTTATTCCGTGAATGATAATCGGGTGCTTAGAATCCGAAGCAGCTGTTTCGGCATCCATTTGATGTTCTCGGAGTCGGTCGTTGAGGCATCGCCCCGTTTGCCCGATGTACCTGGCCCCGCAAGACAGGGGGATCGCGTACACTTCCTCTGCTTCCTCCCCTTCCCCCAAGATTTCCCTTTCCGGTACTCCCATGGAGCGGGCGGGCTTTGAGCTTGAAGCCGAATATAAATGTTGTTAAAGATGAAAGATAGTCCTGTCTGTATCGTCTCTTTTGTGTCTCCACTTTCTAAATTTTTAAAAGGTGCCGACACGCTAAAATAGTTCAAGTTCCGGGATTTCATTCTCATTCACCAAGTGCGATGCGGGAGCCGCACCACGGAGCCCCGGTCGTTTCCGCTCTTTGTTATCGCTAGGATTTGACAGTGCTCAATCACAGTGCAAGACACGCACGCTGCTTAATAATGACATATTTTGTGGAGACGTGGAGACGCTCAATGGCAGCATTTTCTGTAAAGGCGGATTCACTCCGGGGATGTAAGCAGTCACGCGATCCGACTAAATCGCATTAAAAAAAAAATAAAAAAAATAGATGATCAATCTGGCGTGCGTGATGAGCGAGTGCAACACCTTCGTTGGCGAGTCGCTTCTCAAAAACTCTCGCTCCGAACGCCGTTGATTGGCTCGGCCTGCCCCCGACAAGAGCGCATCGCAAAAAGTCGGGTCAGCAAGCGACTGCTCAAATCCCGTCGCTTTTTGCCCGCGATGGTCGTTTTTGCGATGAAAGTTATCGCGTGACTAGATCGCATCGTCGGAGTGAACGCGCCTTAATGCCGAACCAGTCTCACGGCGCGTCCCGACATTGGCGTGAGCCTACGCGCGAGTACAAGATCCGGCACAATTTTCGTTTGCAAAGCCTGGTCTAGCCGCGTGAAAACATTCAGCCAACCTTTGGACTGGAGAAATCAAGAGACACCCAAAATAAGGTAAATTTGCCAGCCGAATAAAACTTGATTTATATTTAGTTAAGATGAAGACCACCCGCGTACATCAAATCCCTCATCAGCCGAACTCTAAGGAAGTAAGCCAAGTTCTGGCAGTTGTTTGGCAACTCTGGCCCGTAGCTGCCGGATGACAGCCAAGCTATAGCATCGGGAAGCGAAGCCTAACTTTGGCATTTTTTTGGCGACTTTGGCCCGTAGCTGCCAGATGACAGCCGAACTATCGGGAAGCGAAGCCTAACTTTGGCACTTGTTTGGCGACTTGGGCCCAAAGATGCCAGATGTCAAGCGAACTACAAGGTAGTAAGCCTAACTCTGGCACATCTGTGGCAATTTTGGCCCGAATGGGCCAGATGACAGCCGAACTACCAAAACGTGAAGCATAACTTCGGCATTAGTGTGGCGATTTTGGCCCAAAAATGCCGAAGATCTGCCGAACTACAGGGGCGCAACCCTAAATCTGGCATTTGTTAGGCGATTTAGGCTCAAAGGTTCCAGATGACAGCCGAACTACCAGGCAGTGAAGCCTAAGTTTGGCAAATGTTTGGCAAATTAGGGCCAAAATACCCAGACTGTTGCCAAGGGAGGTCAGGTTTGGCTCTACTTTGGCTTCTTCGGGCTTTTCGATGCCCTAAACTTACAGACGCAAGCCATGTTTTGGCCCAGAACTCGGTGCTGCCTGAGCTTTCTCTTTTTCTACAGCGATTATTTTCACCATTCTTTTCCAGCTCGCTTGCACCTTTCCATTAATTTCGTTATTATAATTACCTTAATGTGCAGGCCATTTACCCTTCCGTATTGAAAAATCTCATTTGTTTGAGAATTTTCTGCGTCCAATAAACACATATGAATCATACAAGATATATAAGAACTACACAAGAAATATAAGAAACTTGTGAAAAGTTTCCTATAGACCCCTTTCGGAATTTTGGCAACACTAAACAAATTTAGCCGGAATAGTAAAATATCTTGAATCATTCGGTGGTCGCCGCCATTACGCAGGGTTGGACTCGTTCGACCGGTCGGCGCGCAGCCTAGCCGCCGTAGCGTTTCGAGCTTTGGCTTGTGCGGGTGTTTTCCCGATCAACTGTTGGACTAATGATCTATCGATACTGCGACATATAAGTGACAGTGAGGTGGAGCAGTTTTACAGGAGCCGGTCAGGCACAGACCGGTGCATGGAAAGAAGCGACAACTTCTTCGTCGAAGCATACGTGGTCCCCGCATCGATAAAGGCTAACTACTCACGGACCAGGCAAGTTCTTTCTTGTTTTGTAGTAATTTTTTTTAGTAACCTTCCATAATTTTACTACAGTTAATCATGGTGATCGCCCTTTTAGCGTGGCCACTCCGAACGACCCGGTACGCTGCCCCCGTCGTGAGCTTGTCGTTCGGCGGCAGCCGAGAACTCGCTCGTTTCGTTTTTCGTACCCCTCCAATAAACTTACGAGCGCGTACCAGTAACTGCAAAAGGTGCCTCACGAGTCAAAACCTTGAGCGTTTAAGAAATCGCAATCGCAAATCGTACAAAACAGTAGAAAAGGTTGTGGGGGTGGGTGGCAGGCAGGCCATTTTAAATTCCTTCCTCGGTAACCTTTTGAAGACTTAGAAGTTACGCGGTTTGTGGCATTCCTCACAAAGCTACAGAGTAGACTTTCCAGAACCACTGATGTATTGGGTTTATTTCACGGCGTTTGTAAACGTACCACGTTTGTTTGAACCCACTCAAACTGAGGCATTGCAAAAAAAAAAAAAAAAAGTGTACTGGAACAGAATTTTATTTGCACAGAAAATATGCACAGCTGTTTGGAGTGTAAAACCGGTGTTTTTTTTATATTCCATTCAGTGCAGGAAGTTTCTGCATCAAGGGTTCCTGCTACCGAAGCAAGAAGACGACCCAAGAAGAACATACAATGCGTTCAGGAATAAAAACCGTTGAACAGAATAACAATTGTTGAACAAGCTCTAAACACCAACTCTTTGGCTGCATTCTCACAAATTTTCAAACTGATTAGTAGCGTAACGTCCCTAAACGTCCAGCGGTACGGCCTTGGCACTCTGTTCAGGCCACCACTCCAATATTTCCCACGATCGCAAGGCGGGTTCGAGTGATCTTCAGATTCGGTGTGCACTCCGTTTAGTCTGTACACCCGACGTCTTTTTTCTGGAAAACTCTTTACCGGCGTGAGTAAAGGATACGAACTTGCGGAAGAAGTAATCATGCATCTACACGCCGAACAAGTACCTTAAATGGCCTCGGTTGCAGTGAAGAAGCACTGAAGGAGGGAGTTGCTCGCGCATGTGAGCCGCGCACTGAACCTCGGCCGTACCTCTCTAGTTAAAGACGGGGCGTGACACACGGCCACACTACTACAACATATAATCGTTTGCGATGCTTCCGCTTACGGATGATAAGAGCGTTTTCTTGTCTAACCCGCGAAAGTTCTGTAAAAAACGAGGACTAGATTTTTCTTTTTAAACACTTTAGAACTTGTCTGACACGAACCCTTTTTCCGTCTCCGTCAACGTATCCATCCTGCGTACACAAAGGTACGCAGCAGTCCGATGGCATATTGATGCGGCGCGCGCAGCCTGGGACTCAAAGTGTAAGCAGCACCGTTGTAGGCGGTAAGATGCAGGCGGTTCTGGTGGGACCCCTGCGTGATGGCGGCGGACCTAGTTGCAGTTGCGTGAAACAGGTGGCGCTCTACTCCGAAAGGGGTCTATATGTTCTTATATATCTTATATAATTATTTTCACAGTTCTTATATGTTGTTTTTCACTAGGGTTGTTGGTGTTCGACCGGCGGCTGTTGATAAACCCGTTTGCTCTATTGACACCTAACTCCTGGTTAGCTCAGTTGGCAGAGAGCTCCACTGGAAATAGTAAGGTCCCTGATTCGATACCAGGACCAGGCGAACCTTTTCTGTCGTACACCAGTCACCTAGCTGTGTTTGGAGATTGGTGTTACTCCTTTGTCCCCGTTGTTCCTCTTCTGCAGGGAATATTTTATACATTCTAGTGCAGCCACTTGCACCCTTGGATTAATTGCATTATTATAAAAACATCCGTATTTCTCCCATTGCACACACCCAGATTTCAATTTATTATTTTAAAACATATAATGATCGATTCTTGTTTATTTGCAGGCTACATGGAGAGCAATGCTGGAAAACACAATCCGACTATGACTTTTTTACCGTCACCAAGGAGGTTGCGGGCCGTTTCATCACACCGGAGACGTTCTGTCAACGCATTAACCCGCAGCAATACTCATCGGCAGTGAGCATCACTCCTCTTCCCTTTGTATACCTTTCCTCACCTGTAATTCGCTCCCCTACCTCTCGGCAATGCGCGCAGCATGCTGAATGTCTGTCCAAACAGGACACGTTTTGTGCAGCCACAGCATTTGTTGTCGCTGGAAATAAATGGTTTCCTTCAGTTTCGGTTCGCTTGAGAACGTTGCTTTTTTATATTTTTTTCCGCTGGGGGAAATGCTATTCACGACTTGGGTTCTTGGAGAGAGGCTTGAAGCGTGCTCATCACGTGGATCCGAAGTAACGCGCTCTGCTGGCTGTCGTCAAGACCCCAATGTTGTTGGCAATCGCCAATCTTCCGAAAACAAGGAAGAGGAGGGGACGATAGTGGGGAGGTGAGGAGGAAAGGCGTGCTGTTTGTATGCTTGAGGCCCTCACTGAAAGCGCAGGCGCGCCAGCAAACTTCACGCTTTTTGGAAGCGTGCACACTTCTTTAATTTTTTTTGCCGTGCACGAAATTTTTTTTTTTTTGAGGGTGGGGGGGGGGGGGGGGTGGCAACTTTTGAGTCGTCTCTAATAAACACGTTTCCATTAAGAAAAGTTAGCTTTCAAGTAATGGCGATTATGTCTGTGCTGTGTCATGAAGGCTCTCTAGAGCGCAAGCTCGCATAGAGCGACGTTCTTTATGGTTGGAGAAGTACAATCTCAATTTTTGGTCTTTGTAAGAAAGAACAAAGACTTGTTTAAAATTTGTTTATTCACATTACCTCAAACGCCTCTTAGGTATTGCATATATAAAGACTAGACCGTTGGAAATGAAACCTAGACATAAACGGATATGAAATCTCTAAACATGTATCAAAAATAAAACCTACTGCACAACACATTATCTTCCATAAAAAAATAATACAAGTACCACTAAAGTTTAATGTTTCCACCCAGTAAATAATCTTAGAGGCCCATAGGCATAACATATGTCAACACCTCCTTATTCGCTGACCATCGATCTCAATTGAAAACGCCATCGCTTTCGGAGACCCTTAGACATTTGCTGTAGCATCTGTGGTTATGTGCACATATGTTCTACACAATTTGAGGTCTAAATTAATATTGAAAACGTAATCAAACATTTGTCCCACAACGTATACTTGAAGTTAACTACCTTTCTTGCTACAAATATTTTCAGAGTATGGAGAACTGCGTCATAACGTGCAGTAATAATGTGCCCACCAAAAACGGTTACAACACAACAAAGGAAGAAATCCACTTCGCTCCATTTGGCTACCCATGCGGGGATAATGGAGAGGTAGGATATCCCAAAACACTTTTTTTTAAAGTTTTCAAGCAGCTTGGGGGGCATGGGTGCTTCTGATGAGTGCAGAGAAGGGAACCTGTTAGTTAGGAGAGCTAGAGCATCAACAATTTAAGAAACGCATTAAGTGCCGGGTACTGAACATCTTACCGTTGCTCGGTAGCCAATAAGATCTCGGCATCAGTGGATGAGAACGTCGAATCGCCGATCACGCTCTCAGATTCAACACCATAATGGTCCCTACCCTGCGATCTTTCAACTGACAGCGACTCTATGTGTGCTTCAAGAACGGCTTAGCACTATATCATCGCGTAGCAAACACTAGGTAGACAATTGATGTTATATATGTTTTTAGTTAGCTCGACTCTTTAGATGTGCAAGTAACATCCGGCTCCAATAAATCTGCAGTTATACACAGCCTGTTCTTTTAGGCTTTCTAGATTTCTTTTCAAAAAGGCCGTGATAGCTGCACTAATACAGTCAGCTATCTTTAATGGTGAGAAAATATAATGTCGCCCCCAGCGACCCCTATTGGGACTAGATGCCAACTACCGTGCTTAACAAAATACATTTTTCTTAAATAAAGCCGGTTTTGCTGTGATGGTGCTTTTTAAATTGTCCTACCAGGTACACCTGAGTCACCCAGGGTGGATAGATTGGACAAAAAAAGCTGAACTTCTCTTTGTTGCACCATCAAAGGAAGTTAAGCTCCTCTACTCTCGATGATTAGAGGTTTCCTTTCCCCCCATCTCCTCTTTTCTGGAGTTTCCTCTGCATTCTGGAAAGTGGGAAGGAGTTCATGAAGAGGAGCTTATTGTGCAATTTTCAAAATCTACCTTTCTCCGAACTTTTAAAAAAATATAATGTAGGCCTTTTTTTGCTAAAGGGTAATGGGAGGGTTCACCAAAAATATGGTTTTTCAATTTATGGTAAAAATCGGACAGCATAAATTCGGCATCGAATGTAACGAGATAACTAAGCCTCTCACAGTTTTGCAACACCAGCGGTACATCGATATTTTTTTTTTTAGAACTGGGATACAAATTCATATTTCACATGTAGCTTGAAAGAAAGATACAGATACTCAAACGCTTCTCTAAGATACTATCGGGGTACGTGTGTACCGCGACACTGCCCAGTTCTGTCCACCTCCGATTTCACATTGAACAGAGAGGATCACAAGCAAGAGCAGTCATTCGAACTGCGTAGAAGAGACAGCAGATTGACCAAGCGCCGCTTACCCATTTCATGCATTCTTAGTCTGATGTTAATAACCAACCGCTCTCTGACGTAAAGCTCAAATTAATTGGAACTGTGGTATCTGATGGCTCGTTCAAAGCAACCAAACCCATTCGGCATGTCACATGTTGCTCGCACACACATTATAACCGGACCGAAAACAAATAGGGAGAGTTCGTCACAACTTGCAAACAGCTCAAACCTACGTAAAAGTGATATTGACGCAGTAGGCGCTCTTTCTATGTCGGTATATAGTGCGTTTACGTGTATGTTTGTTTTGTCTTAAGTTGTTCGCACATGTATACACAAAAGTAAGTGTGAATACATGTATACACATGTATTCAGACATACTTCTTGCTAACCTTGTCCGATTTTCGCTGAATGATTTTCTTAACGTATATTATGCTCCAAAAACCGAAACCAGGACAGTACGCGTAATTGAGAGATCCTACATTAAAACCTCTGCGTGGTGCTTAGAATCGCGTACCAAGCATAAATTGACGACTGGCTAATATTCCTCGGTGTATCGCCACGACAAATTTGAGAAATCTGACATGAAAATTGTTCCCTCTTTTTCAGCGGTGCTGGTTCGGAAACTGCACAAATATTGACAGTGAGGTCTCCTCAACTGTTACAAGGTGAAAGATTGCTGTCTCAAATATTCATGCCTCTGAAGAAGTATCAATAAAAGCGTCTCTTTTTGCCTTTCGCATTGAGTGTTATTAGAAAAAATTATCACAATAAATATATGTACTTACAATATATTTTACGGTAAAATGCCTATCAGAACGTTTTATGAACTTCATTTAGCTTTAGCTGCAAAAATAACACGAAAAACGAAATACAGAGTCTTGACCTAACCGGTCGTTTTGCTTTAATTTTACCAGAATTTAAATGATTCTTCGCGGCAGTCATTAGTACAGGTCCTGATATCTGCCGTGCTACAAACCAATGAAGAGTGAGAGCACTGTGGAAACTTGTATCGGGTCAATCGAAGCAAATCGATTTTATTTATGAATTGCCACACAATACACAACAGACTGCACATATAAATCTTTTGTTTCAGTTGCGCAGGATAGCTTTCTGGTTATCGCGTATCTTCTCGCACGTGTCAGCATGTCTCGTCGCCATTGCAACCGAACCTCTTCATCACGTTGGGTTGCAATTTTAAGTGAGCAAGAAGTAAATCAAAGGAAATGCTATCGCATTTGAAGGAGTCATGGGTAAATTTAATATACAAAGTTAGTTCTAGAAAATAAACCCGGTTTTACTTTCTGCACAACGAAACTACCTATCTCAGACATGTTGAACTTTGCGAATACAGCGAATTCAAACGCAGTCAAACGCAGTCAAACGCAACTCTTTGTACGGACCTTATTTTTGCTGACATCGTTTATTGCCAATCGCGTTGTGAGCGACGATATCGAATTTCGAAGATCAATAATCGTTGCGTGTCGCTGTAGCGCACCATGTGAGACAGAACACTGTAAGAGACTGAACGCAGAGTTCAATCCGCTTTGCTAACCCAATACATGACACAAGTGTGGTCCTGCTCGAGGAGGCTAGGCGTGAAACCAACGCCACCTTGGGCTCGCGCAGGGACGTGTACCGATGTTTCAGTACACAACAAGCGCCAAAGGGTCTCGGATGACAAGCTGGATGAATGTGCAGGAAAGATCGCGGCGTGCTAGACGAGGTCTGACGGAAGCTTTTTGACGTGAATGCGCAGGAGTACCAGAAACTGCAGGCGTCAGCCTAGAACAGTTTCTGCAGCTCCGTTCACGCCTGGAACCAAAAATTCCGCGAAAAACCGGAAAACACCATGATTTCACAGTTTTGTTTTTCAGAACAGAAAAAAAAAAAACAGCAACAACACCATCTTATGTTGATACCACATTAAACGCTTTTTAATTTACACGCCTCTCAGCTCATCAGTCTTTTCCCTCTGCTCGCCCGTGGACTGAAATAATCTTTTATTTTTATAGCGGTAACTCGTTTTGTCAAAAACATAATTTTCGTTGCTAATAAATAAAAAAGACACGAAATTTTTTAAATAACTTACAATTGAAAAGGAGGAGGTGCCGATTACGCTCATTTCGGCCAATCACCGGACACGCCTCAATTGAAGTCATGGTCCACCCATCAGCTGGATTTTTTCGCAGTCTAGGGCGCCAATCTTATGGGTCACGGTTTGATTGTTGCTGGTTCTGTCAAATTACTTTGTGTGACCCGCAAGAGCGACATCGGTCTAAAACTTCGTTAAAATTACCTGCAAGACACCTGACACATTCGTCAATCAAGACACTGTTGGAAAATCTTAATGATGGAAGGATTACGGAAAAAGCCTCATAGAAGCGTCTCGTATTATGGGACGTCCTACACCGGCGAAAAAGCCGGCTCCAGCATAGTGGATTAGGCGGAGCGATAGACGCGGACAGAGCCATACAAGCGTGTCGTGTTTTGGGACACCCTATACAAACCTAGTGGATTATGTCGGAACCATGGAGGCCCACGGAACCATGGAGGTGCATGGAACCATGCAGGGGGACTCAACCATACAAGCTTAACGTAATCAAATAACAATTTTTTGAGGACACCCGGTCAATGCAATCCCTGCAGGCGGAAACTAACATTTTCAACTATTCATCTCATCATCTTCTCAACTCTCTCTTCTCACATCTTCTCTTCTCTCTTCTCACTTCGCGCAAAGCTAGCCAACGGCCTCTTTTACACTTCGGTCCCATTGGCTGGCGGATGTTGACGAGGCTCCCATTGGCCGCTGCGCCTCAGTTTGTGTGATGTTATCCTCACTGTGTCATCACACTGTTATGTTATCAGTGATCACCGCGTTCGCTCGCCTCTTATCGGTTGTACGGCGCGTGGGAGTATATACGGCGCATGGAATAACCGAAGGGCTTCATTCTGCTGGGAACTACGTTACTGTCTGTTCCATCCTCGCGCCGCAAGGCTCACGGCAGTTTGAACAATTGCTCACCCGATGGTGCTGCGTGTCCGCGAGGCAGCGGCTTCACCGTTCCACGCCCAAGGTCAGCGCGTTGTACGCCGCAGATTAAAAGAGGGAGCGAAGAGCGGCGTGCGTGCTTTCGCATTCAGAACTAACAAGAAACGCTTAGGTGTACCTCAACCTTTTTTTACTTGCATAAAAGGCCATTTTTTAAAGCTTTACATAATTGTCTAAAAATATCGTGAAAGCTACACTTATGTGCTTTGGGCATGAGAGTTATGCGGCCAGGAGGACGTAGTACAGGGTCCTAATTGTAACGATCGGTCCGATAATTACGTACAACGCAGGGGTGGATATAACGCAAGGGTGACATTTTCGCGTTCTGTAAACAACGCTTCATTGCGGCGCGTTTCCAGGATTCGGTTTCTTATCGGAGCGAATCTCTGCGGCCATGGTCCTGTTCCCCAGGAGCGGTTTGCTCATCTCGCGGCTTCGGCCGCGGTTGCGGCCTAGAGGGATTTCTTTGTCACGTGACCAGCTCAATGGGGAGAATAAGCACCTAGCGCTCCTGCCTAATGGCTGAGAAATACGTGTCGCTTCGAGTACAAACGTTTAAATTCGTCAGTAGAAACTGACCGCAGAGGCTTTCAACTTGAGTCCAATTCACCGCCCCTTTGTACTTTAGGAGCGCCAGGTAACGTTACGGCCAGGGAAGGTAAATATGAGCCAAAAGAAAGAATAAGTCACAAAAGGTAAAAGCGGTGGCAGTATATTTATATACCAACGCCAGCGTGGAACGCCTTAGCCTTCCGCTGTCTGCGCCTTGCAGCTGGGCGCATTTCGGTCTTCTGCGCATAGGAAAGGAGGTGTGAAGGTGGGGGAGGAAATTATACGAAGCTGCGTCTCCTTGGCGGGGGAGTCGCGGATGTAAACATTTCGGCGTCGGCAATGGCGGACGTGCTGTAGCAGCTTTGGCAATAGCCGGGACTCCTTCGCGTGGTTGCTGGTTAAAAAAAAAATTAGAACGTTCCGCTTCAGTCCGGTGTGATTTAGAGGTCGGCTACGATCAGGGCCTGTCCAAGGGGCAGTGTTACCAGGGGAAATGAAAACGTGCTGCGTCTTATGGTGTGGTCGGCGCGTTCACGACGGTGTGTCGCATTTTAAATTTCTGGCACGATTGACAGATTGAGAGCTCTTCCTTGATTCGGTGGATGGTGGTGCATACCCATTTTTAGTTGGTGGAGCGATCTGTTTAATTAATTCCCATACAAACTAGACTTTATTCCATTAAATAGGTGCGTGGTTTTCTGCACTTTGCACTCTTATAGAGACAAGCAGCTCCTAGCCGCACGAAAAAGAACAAGAACAGGTCTGTGATGCCCTTACATGTCTGGGGCGGCACGCGCACTAGACTGAAGGAAGCAGCGTGTTTTATCCCTGCATGTTAAGACAGTAAGCTTAGAAAAATGTGACTTGAGCAAATACAGAGGGCTAATTAAAGTCCGTTGGGTTACCGCCGAGCAAGTGTTCGTCTGTTTAAACAACAGGGCATAGAAAAATAAGATTCCATAAAATTTCGCCAAAAAATAAAAACAATAATTACTACTTGGTGTCATCAAGTCTCCGACATAACTTCCGCAATACGCTCGACGCCTCACACGAAAGGAGGGAACTTGTGGATGCTAACAATCCTCGTTCTCTGTTGTAGCGAACAAACCTCGGCGCGCTGGCTCCCTCACTCGTGAGTCCTTTGGCTTCGCTCCTTGATACGAGTCTCCTAGTTGTTAGATAAAAACGCATTAAACCGCTCGAGGTATTTCGTCTGTCCTCTCTGAAAGGCGAAGTCGAGCTCGCTCGTAAAGTAACACAGCTGTTGAATAGCAAACGATGTTGCAAAAAACAGACGACGCTCAGATAGTGGGTCTCGGCGAACCACTCTCTTTCCACTCGAGCCAATCAGAGCTCGGCATTCAGACGTCACCGCAACCCCTGCGCAAGAAGCGGACGAACTTGCCCTCCGCATAAGGAAGAAACGCTGGAACTTGTCGTGGCGGAGTGAAAGTTCGAAATTCAGGTCGCGCCAGGAATTGAATTTTTTTTTTATATTTTGCGCGTGTGTTTTATTTTTTTTACTGTGATCATTTTTACAAATCGTCCAAATCATCCACTTGCACTACTGGGCCTTACACGGTTTTTACCACTGATCTCAATGACAAATGCTGGATTGCGGATCCCCGTATGTTCGCTGTAGCGCGAGTGCGGCCACCGGACGGCCATCTAGCATGGACAATTTTTTCGTTTTGCTAGCGTTTTGCTGCGGTTTTCCAGCGTGCTATCGACACGTTTTCTACTCGTTCGTCGTCATTCTCCGAAGACGTTCTTTAATATCCTTGGTGAGGCCGATGAGAAGACGTGGAAAGTTTTACGAAAGCGCAGTGTCGCAGGAAAAAAGGCGCAACTCGTCGAAAGCAAGTTTCGCCGGTGTGGCGGCGTGTTCAAAGCTGTCTCGGCATGCCGAATTGCTGCGTCTCTGTGCTTTCGCACGCTTTATACCGTTCAAGAATCGACGCCGAGTGAATGTGTTTTGCGAGTGCAGTGTGCGTTAAGCCGCATGCGTCTCTGGATCAGCGTCTTACTTTACTGTGACGACTGCACACTTGCGGCACTCGCAGTCCAGAAACGTGCTTAATCC